CAACCAAGAATATCAGGAGAACCCCACCAGAGGAGGCACACAATTTTCCTTAACTCTTACGTGGTTACCAAAGTGATTGTTTGTGAGAGGGTAGGGTTGTCTACTACACTAATGTCAATCTCCCAAAAGGGAGAAATCACTGGAATACTCTCTGCTTTATTAGTTGACGTTTTTGTTTACCTCCTTTAGCTTGATATTTTATTATTCAAGAAGCTGGAAATTTAGACCATTAAAGGAGCTGGAAATTTAGACCATTACTGCCATAAATGTATAATCCCTTTCATAATTCATATATTAAAAGGCAAATGTTATTGGACAACTAAGAAACACTATTGTCCTATTCCTCAATTATTAGCCAACTTTCTCCAGGACCTATGTGTTTCACATAGTAGGCATGCAATAGATCTATAACTAAATTTAATGATCTATATAAAAGAGTAGCCTTCATCCCATCCTGGCTTTGATATGTGCAGCCATTTTTGAAAATCAGATTTACAAAAATAAAGTAGATTTGATGTCTCATTTCAAAGAAAACTTTTCTGTAATTTCTCCTTGCAGAAACCGTTTTTCTCTGGAAAAGCATGTGTTCAAGTACAATTTTCTTCATTTCATTCTCACCTTTTTCTGGTCTGTCCAGTATAGAAGGAGTACAAGTGGCCAGAGGTAGATTCACCAGGAAGCTAATGAAGCTTGCACAGAGCCCCTTTGAATACACTGGGAAGACCAATTTTATTCTTATAATTTGTCTTATTGAACCAGGAATTGTTGTAAATGTACCCAACAACTGTGTACATTTTAGGCCTCACAAAACCTGATCTATCCCTGATAATATCCTAGATGTAATTAAGTGTTCTTTCCTGTTGAGCAGAGATGCTTCTGTAGCCACTTGATAGAATGGCTGATAAGTACATTGTTAGCCCTAAACTAGAAGTGTAAAATCATTAAGACCAAATTCAAAGATGATATGGTTCCTCTTATAATGGCAAGTTCCTCAGATGATGCTGTACAAACTAATAGAACATATAAGGCTTCCCTTTACAAAATATACAAAAACATGTAATATTTTACCAGAGGTGTAATATTAAATTAGTGATTCAAGAGAAATTCCACAGACCTAATTTCACCTGCAGCTTTAAGAGGTTAGCTTAAAGGATAAGGAGGTCCCTTTGTGAAATGTGCAAGTTAATTGTTTGCCACCTAAGAATTGATTTGGTGGCAAAGAAAGGCAGATCGTGTCTAATGTTCACTTACAGTTTGACAGATCTATTATGAAGGCTGAAAGAATCTAAGATGCAGACTTTAAAAATACAATGAAAACAGCATAATCAGATATGACTGGGGAAAAACAAAAAAATCCACCTGGTATTCATTTGCATGTCAATACCTAGAATTTTCTGCCAGTTCATCACTTTTTTCAAAATGCTGAAGGGATTTAAAAAAAAAAAAAAAAGGGAATGGTTTGGCATAATGGTGGGGGCTGCTGATTCCTTTCTCTGTCCTTGAGTGTTTACTGCCAGGAAATCCTGACCAACATCGATTGCCAAGGGGTTAAAGTCACATTGTTGTTAAATTGGGAGAGAAAATTAGCAGGATTTTGTGCCCTATGCTCAACTATCACAGAGTTTCAAAAACAGGAACCTGGGGCTTTATATGAGGGGACAGGGGAAGTGAAGGGGAAGAGTCACAGGGTGATTTATCAGGGCATAGTTCCAGATAAATTGCTTACATGGAGGTAGAAGAATTTTAGGCATATATTCTGTGCCAAGAAGCCAAACTGTGGAGCAGAAGCTCATCCAAAAGTGGAAATGGGTAGTTCTGGGTACAGACCTTCCATATGCGAAGAGGTGATGATTTTATAGTCATGTAATTTGTACTCATGCATGTGCGGGTAGACTTTTCAGGTATCCATACCATGAGATTCTCATGGCAAAAGAAAGCTAGTATTTCATCAACATAAACTTTAATAAGCTGCAAAACTCCTGGAGTCTCGAAACCACATTTTCTCTAAGTTCTATAAAAGCAAGTTTTTCTCATGATTAGAATCTGACATTCTGGGGAAACTCTGCAGATTTTAACTGATGTGACTTAACTATCCTCTCCACCCTTTTTTTTTCTCTCCCATTAATAATGCCAATCCTGAAGTGAGGGGTGGGAGCACAAAATACCCCAAAACATAGTAAGCACTGTTGGCTCCTGATTTACTTGAAGAATTAGTTAGAGCCATCAGGCAAACTTACTCTTGGGTCCTCAGATCTGTCCTCCTTTTCAGTTGCTAAACAATACAAGTGCATTTTTTTTGTTTCAAAAAATAAAAAAGAATTTCTGGAATAACTCCAGTGAATGGTGCTGAAAGAAAATGCAAGTTTGGAAATTTACTCAGCATCTAAGAGCCCTTAGTGTTAGCGTTATTTTCTTCAGTGTAGAACAGACTTAATAGTTTGGTGAAAATCATAGACTGGTGGAGACTAATAGTTAGAACCTTCAAACCAGCGGGTCTTGAAGCTGGCTACAGCTGTCACTCATTGCACCATTTCCTCTGGCCAGTCAGGAGAGAATTCTCAGCATCTCTGCTAAAAAGAAACTTTATTTTTAGCACACCAGTGTACAGGCATGTATGCATGCACAATTCACACATATCCACTCACCGCGCGCATACACACACACACACACACACACACACACACACACACTGCTTCTGAGAAATGCACTCCCCTCAACTGAGAAATTTGAGGCCTAAGAAAGATAAATTACTTTCCTAAAGTCACATAGTTAAGCACAGAACAAAAGTTAGAACCCAAGTATCCTCAACTCTTCTTCCAGTGCTTGCTTGTGTACACCAATTTGAAGCTTGGGGGTTTAAGCCCTTATAGAGTTCAGTATATGTATGTATATAAAGTGCTGCCCCTTCTCAACCTGAGTAGCCTTGAGAGTTTTCATAATGGCCACAAACCTTTGGTTAGTTCTATGCAAGAGAATGAAAGAGATCATTTCATCACTAACCCACCCTGCTTTTTAAAGCAGCCTATTGCAAACCTGTTTTATTGATTATTTGATACAGATATTTCGAAAAAAAGTTCAGAACTCTTTTTATTTTGCCACTTTTTGCAACACTTACCCACAGGCCTTATACATCTGCTCTTACTGAAACAGATTGCTTCCAGAGCATTAAGAAAAGAAATAGACATTTTCTTGGCTCCATATTTCTAATCTGCTTCAGATTGATTTTTTTTGGGGGGGGAGTAAGGATATTTTACATGCATACTGAGATCTCAGATTTCATCTAAAACTGCAATATTTATGTTCAAGGTTGCTGAAATGATTTTTTAAAAAATATTTGTATTGATTTCAGAAAGGAAGGGAGAGGGAGAGAAAGACAGAAACATCAATGATGAAAGAGAATAGTTGTTTGGCTGCCTCCTGCTCCCTACCCCTACCCCCACCTGCCACCCACTGGGATCAAGCCTGCAACCCAGACATGTGCCCTGACCGGGAATCGAACTGACCTCCTGGCTTGTAGCTCAACACTCAACCACTGAGCCACACCGGCTGGGCTGCCGAAAGGATTGAAAAAAAGGATAAAATACATATTTCATTGAAAGCCAAGATAAACATTGGATTTTATCATTTTTAAAATTAATAACAAACACTCCTCAAACAACAGAAATTAGAACTATTAGCTAGTCATGTAAAGGTTTGTAGGATAAGTTGAAGGAACAGAAGAACAAAATTGATTAAATAGCTTTGGTCCTAGAAGACAATTAGGAGGAATAATCAGGAGATAACAGTACTTTGTCATTATTAAGTGTTGTTGACTTTAAAGATTTCAGTTTTTGAAGCAAGTGTGTATGAAGAAACTGGGATGCTGTTCACTGTGAATTAGAAGTTTCCAACTAAACCACTTTTTCTCTCTTTTATTTGCAGCCATTTGTTATCTATGACATGAATTCCTTGATGATGGGAGAAGATAAAATTAAGTTCAAACACATCACCCCCTTGCAGGAGCAGAGCAAAGAGGTGGCCATCCGCATATTTCAGGGCTGTCAGTTCCGCTCCGTGGAAGCTGTGCAAGAGATCACAGAATATGCCAAAAGTATTCCTGGTTTTGTAAACCTTGACTTGAATGACCAAGTAACTCTCCTAAAATATGGCGTCCACGAGATCATTTACACAATGCTGGCTTCCTTGATGAATAAAGATGGGGTTCTCATATCGGAGGGCCAAGGATTCATGACAAGGGAGTTTCTAAAGAGCTTGAGAAAGCCCTTTGGTGACTTTATGGAGCCCAAGTTTGAGTTTGCTGTGAAGTTCAATGCACTGGAATTAGATGACAGCGATTTGGCAATATTTATAGCCGTCATTATTCTCAGTGGAGGTAAGATTCATCTTTGATCTTCCATAAAGTGGGTGGGATGGTGGTGGAATGGCTGAATTTTTTTTTTTTTTACTTTTACTTTCCTAGTGCTAGTGAATGTTCCTTTTCTCTCTGTACTCACTGCACTTTTCATACAGAAAATGCCAATGGCATAATGCCATGAAAGTGTCACCACACATGTAAAATACCAAGAAAGGATATCATAGATTTGCTGTTTGAAGGCTTAGGCTAACCCAGGCTCTTTTCTTTTAATCCTCATATAATTTTTTCCTAATCAAATTCAAGCATGGAAGACAAATGCCCTCTTCTCCTTTTCCTTTCTCCTTGTTTTCTTTTTTTCCTTTCCTTTCCAGAAGGCCAATCTAATATTTATGTCACTTAAGTAATGACATGTATAACTGCTTGAGATGATGCTCACTTGGCATAGAGGAAGTGCCATTAAGTGTTTTTGGTCAAATGATGCTCCTGCTCCACCATCAGTAAGATATTTCTTTGAATTGCTTTTCCAATATCAGGAATCAAGCATATATACTATCTACTGACCTCTACCTACTCTCTCATGTAGATTCCTTTGATTGCTTCCCTTAAAATACCTTTGTGAGGGGGTTGGCTGTGGTTAAGAATGCAATCTGAACCAAAGAACACAGAGCAGAGAAATGAATTGAGTTATTTAGCAATTCATTGTATTTTTGGCCTTGCAAGTACATGATCTAACTGACCAACTCCAAAAGCCAAGTTTTATACTAAATGCTACTTTTATTGGCCTCTCACATGTTTCCAACTTGAATAGAAGAAAGTTTTACTGTCATCTTGCTCTATAAAAGTTGTTTTTAATGACGAGTTTTCATTACTGAAATGGAGTTCAGATGAGCTTTTTATGTGTCCTTACAGAATATCCTCTGAAAACTGGGGTGGCATGGTGGAAGGGTGATATAGGTATAGATTTAGATATAGATAGATATAGACATAGATATAGATATAGATATAGATATAGATAAGCTGTGTGTAACTGTACAGGATATTATAAAGAGCATTATCCATTCTATTGTCCTTTGTTGTCCAATTACTTGAGAGTTGAATGCTTCTGAAATCAGGTGTGTAGTGTATTAGTAATAATAATAATAATTGCAAACGTTTAAGTACTTACTGTGTTCTGAGCACTGCGTTCACATTCATTTCGTTCTCACAACCCAATGAAGTAAGTTCCATTTTGCAAACAAGGAAACCAAAACACTAAAAGGTTCAATCTTTCATCCAAAGTTACCCAGCTAGTAAAAGATGGAGCCAGGATTATAAACACGGGCAGTCTGGCTCCAGAATCTATACTGATACTGCCCTGTGTATGACTAGGGTACATATGATAACAATATGGCATAGGTTAATTCTGGAGCCTTAAGTCCAGTGTCAAGTTGTAACTCCTTTAAAAATGATTTTTTGGTGTTATGTTTAATGTAACAAAAATATGCTATCCAACATGTTTTAGTATCTTGACTACTTCTTAAACAAATTAACCCTTGATCCTCCTGAAACTGATTAGTTCAGCAAACAAAAATGATATTCCAGATTACTTGAGGTTCACTAAGAGAAAAAGATTAAATTTTGAAAAAAAAAAACAGATTAGAAAACAAGTTAATATTGTTTAAATAGCTAATACTTTAAAGCACATTTTACTTTTAATGAAAAAGAGAAATAAAATGATTAATATTTCATATATTTCTAAGATTTTTTTCTAGCACATTATATAAACCATGTTCGTATTTCTTTCTCTGCTTATCATTTCCCCATGTCATTACATATTCTTTGTTAATATTTTTATTAGCTTTTAAAAATAAAAGAAATACTTGGTCATTATATAATCCAAAGAGTACAGAAAGGTGGAAGTGAAAAGTAATTGTCTCTTTTCTCAGAATAAAGCTAGATTAACAAAGTCCTATTTCTCATACCAAAAAGTTTCTATGCGTGTGCTAGCATATGTATATGCTACCACTTTTAATAGCTATAAAATATTTCACTTTATAAAAGACTATTGCATACTAAATTATCTATATATGTATAGGTTACTTATAATTTATTATAAAAACCTACAGAAAAGAATACAGAAAAAATTTTAAATATATATTGTTCCAATTTTTGCTGTAGTGAACATTCTTGTGTATAAATTTCTGTTCAATTTTCAGGTTATTTTCTGATTCCAAATGGCCAAAATGGAATTGCTGGGTAGATGGCTATGAACATTTTTAAGTCTTTGTCACATCATTGACAGGTTGTTTTCCATAAAGTTGGTACTAGTTTATATTCTCACCACAGATGCTAAGGGAGGCTTTTAGAAAAAAACACTCAAAGATACTTAGTTTATAACCAGGAAATATCTAGATAAGAAATAATCATGATAATTATGGGCTTTTTTGAACCGGAGTGATGTTGTTATATGGGTACATGAGACAACAGTGTGGTTTCATCTAGAAAAATGCCATTACTGCCCATATTTCAAAGCTAGATTATTTTAAAATCAGTGATTTGTTAGGCCCTTAAATGTTTCATTAATTAGCCAAAACATATATATATATTTCTGTGAATAGCTTGGTTCAATGTAATAACATTTCAGGCAGGCCGAAGCCAGGGATCAACCCAGGTATGTGCTCTTCATTAACCAGGAATGTAACCTGCCGATGCTCTAACCACTTAGCACACTGGACAGGGTTCTCAATTAGTTTTAATTTACTTTCTATTGGATTTTCCAGAAGAGGAAAACATTCATGTAAGCAAGAGGTTTTGATTCAGTAAACATATTTCTGATCCTACCTGATCTTAAAGAGCGATTATTTTCTCCTCTGCAGTTCATTCTGATTCTATAAATAGCTTTAGTGATTTCAGGAAAAGAAGTGCTTTTGTCAGGCATCCATTGACCTCATTCTGAGCTAGGTTTAGAATCACAGAAGAGCTTCACTCTAGTGAAGGCACTATGACCCTAGACCAGTGGTTCTCAACCTTCTGGCCCTTTAAATACAGTTCCTCATGTTGTGACCCAACCATAAAATTATTTTCGTTGCTACTTCATAACTGTAATGTTGCTACTGTTATGAATCGTAATGTAAATATCTGATATGCAGGATGGTCTTAGGCGACCCCTGTGAAAGGGTCGTTCGACCGCCAAAGGGGTCGTGACCCACAGGTTGAGAACTGCTGCCCTAGACTGAAGGAAGAATGGGGAGATGGGCATGATGTAAGAGTGGGGTGGTAAGGACTTGGGGAAATTAAAGGGGGGCCCCAGAGGACCTAAAGGGGATTTTTTGGATGAAAGTACCTGATTTGACCCCACAAGTATTTGCTGAGGAAACTAGAGTTGCTATAGTAAGATCACTGTCACTCAACCTCATCCCTAGAAACTGCTGATACCATTAGATGTGGTACTTAGATTGGCCTGGTGCTTAGCATCTCTACTATTTACTCAGCTTTCAAACCAAGATTGTGAGGAAGGTGACCTAGTTCTCAAGTTTTTCTCCTTTCTCTCTTTCTCCTCTGAGCCTTAGGCAAGAATGAGACTAAAAACATCAGCACTCTAGAAACAAAGGAAAGCACTGTGTACATTTTAAGAGTATTTCATATGCATTCTCATTTCATAGACAGAAAAGTGAGGGTCATAAACTTATGCAATTTGCCTAAGATCTAACAACTAGTGAGCAGTGGGACTAGGAGTGAAACCCAGGTGTTCTAACTATCACCTCCAAATGCCCTGTCTGCCCCAAGCCCTGCCCTCTGCTACCTGGCTAGTGGATTGTGGTCAACTCCCTCACATTTGTGTGGGGGGTCGAAACCTGTACTCCCTTCATGATACTCTCTAAGGTATAGATGTACCCATAATCCATACCTTATTCCCTGCTATTTGGGATGAGTAATGGTTTCCCTTGTTCCCCCTAGTCTCTCTGACTGGATAGGTGGCGTCAAGAGTAATAAAACTGCCTCCAGCAAGGGCATGTTTGCAACCGGCGCCACAGCATCATGCCAGCCACACATGCAAACTCCCAAAACCTACCCAGCAACCAAAGCCAAGTGGAAAGCTCAGTAAAGCTGACAACCCCCAGGATACTCCATTGGACACTTTGCCCCTTTGAGCGTTTGCTGTTTGGTGAAGAAAAAGCATAGAAGTGTTCCAGCTGGAACTCTACAACAGGAAAAAGCTCTTTTTGCTAATTCAAAACAGTTTGGAATCTATTACAGTTCTTCCCAAACTTCCAAGATATGGGGGAGGAAATTCACTGGATTTTACAATATATTTTTCTAGGCAGATTGCCATCGCCATCCTAATGACAGAGAAGCTATAAATATTGATACAATGGCCACAGATGGCAAGTCATCCAGCCTCCTCCTTTACTCTCTTGAGACCGGCTTGGCTATCCAAACCACCTATATAGCAGCTTCTTCTTTTTCCAGCAGCCCCAGCCATGTTCTTGCTCTGTGAAGCAATGTTGGACAGCTGTGCTCTCGAAGTGACCTGGTGCATTTCTACTGCTGAGTGGGCAGGGAGAATAGGGTATAAGAAGGGAGAATTGTTCTCATAGTTACACATTTGCAGATCAAAGAAAAAATAATATCCTCTGAAATAGTGCACAACTGCTTGTCCCATAGGTCAATAACCTGGGATCTCTGTTTCTCACCCTTGATCATGACTATAGAGTATATATATGTATAAATATAGATTTAGATATATAGACTTTTAAATTTGTTGGAATTAGAATAGAATCAAAGCACAGCACCTGACACAGAATAAATACTTAATAAATGCTTGTTTAGTGAACAATAAGCAAATATTAACAATAATAACTATCATTTATCAATTATTTTCCTGTGTGCCAGACTATATGCTAAGCACTTTACATACATACATTCATAATCGTTGTTCAACCTTTCCTGCAGCTCTACAAAGTCTATTATTATCCCCATTTAACAAATGGAGAAAATAGAAATTTAGAGAGATTAAGCAACTTGCCCAAAGTCACAAAGCTACTAATAGGTGAGGCCAAGGTTCAGACCCGGGTCTCCTTTAACTTAAAACTGATGCCTTTAACTACTACTGCCTTTTGTGTATTGAGATGGGGAAGCATCTCAGTTAATTACCTTGGTCTTGGAGTTCTTTGGCAGTTATCAAAAACTACCTTTTTCCATATTGCCTGCAAATATTTTAATCAAGAATTCCCAGGTTAGAGTCCATATATTACTTACTAATATTCAAAGCCCTTCTTGAAACACCATTTTAACTTTTCTAACAAAATTACACCCTGAATTTGAAAATTGCTCTGGGGAGGAATGGGGCCCAGTGATAACTCTGAAGACTGGTGCTGTATTCTTTAACTTGTTCAGGTAGCATGGCCCCTGGAAATGAAAGCACTGTTTGCAGAGCTCTCCACAAAAATTGATAAGCTTTAAAAAAATGAGTAAATACATTCATACTTAATCAGATACCATCTTTCACCAGGTTCTAATAGAGATAAGTGGTTGCAGAAAAATTTATGAGAGAAATTTAAAATTGTTAAAATACCATCCACTCATTTAATTTCTTCCTGCCCATTGGAAATAATCAAAATGACACTCATTCAGTTGTAGCAGCAGAACCTCATTCCAGCTCACAGAACACTAATGTTCCACAGGCACAGAGTCTGTGGAGTTCTCTTCCCCCTCCCTAGTTGTCTTTCAAATCTTAGGGATATTTACGGCTGATGTGTCATCTTCCCGTTTTACTACAGAACTACTTATGCTAGTTAGAATGTACATATAGCACTCCTCTGGAACAGAGTGTACATGCTTGAGTGGGCCTACACTTTTCTTGAGGAAATCCCAGCTTAGGGGGCTTCTGATTCTACATGACCTTCTTCGTCTGTTTCTATCATCTTCACTAGTTAACTGGGAGGAGACAAAACCCAACATAGGAGAAGAAAGTTGGCCTACTATTGTTCATAGTATTAGGTATTAAAAATACCAGGAACAATAGTAGGCCAACTTTCTTTTCTCCTATACCAGTTAAATATCCAACTACCTTATTTATACAATTTTTTTTGGACAAGAGTCAGGCTAATGCCTAACTAGTTATTTTT